AATAATAAAACAGAAGGTCACACTAACGTGCATAATAACATTATTATAAAATAAGTATGTGTAAACGGAAAATGGTTTGAATAGAAAAATAATTTATTTAGAGTAAACTAGAAAAAAAATATATAGAATTATTTATGGGTAATTAACTTTTGAAAACAATAGTACAATTCAAAAATATTTTAATATATTCGGGGTGTATCACAAAAAAAATATATATATTTATACTTTAATGGTTTCCTCGTTCATTGTTCGACTGTATAAGACCTATTGAAGTGTTGTTATAGTTCAACTGACGAAACCGGAAAGTCATGATAAAATATAATTATTTTTATTATTGAGCAATTTAAAAAATGCTCCCAAAATGTATACTTAAACGCCCAAATCATTTTAATTTATATTTCAACAAACATACATGTTTAATCAATTAATTAAATTTAATAACCAACAAAAATATCTAGATGAACAGGTTGACGCCCAGACAGAAGGTCAGTGGGCTCTATTTTCGACTTGAGTAACTTATGTACCAAGATTATAAAGGATTATAAAGGATCCAACTTCCAAGTCAGATTTTAGCAAAAATTAGTCAGGCCAGTGTAGTGACCACTAAACATGTAAAATAAAAACACATATTTTATATCATGTATAAACAATTAACAAATGCTTTATGAAAAATAAAAACTTATAAGCTCATTTGAATAATTTTTCAAAAACTGATATTGGCCTTTTAGATTGATGTTACAGCGGTACATATGACGTATTACGTGCAGCGCTCTAACGATTAAAACTGAAAATGATGTAAAAAAAAGAAAAATATTTTGATGTAAGTTTTCTTTTAACTTTAGTCTAAAATAGAATAAAATAACAATAAATACGTGATATTATCGTTATCGCCTGCTTAGGCTTATGGACACGCTAATGAATTTTAGTTTTTTTCGAATTTCGTTGGTGTACCTTATTGGAAGACGTCAATAAGGAGGAATACATTACTTATACCAAATCAAGCATTAGATAAATGTCTAGAATTAACCAACCAGACATATAAAAAAATGGTTATTCAATTATTTTATTTTGAATTTAAATAGTAAGAATTTTACTGAGCAGAGAAACTTAGTACAATTATTTCGTCTGTAGTTAATTCCGGACCCTTATATAATTAAATTATTATTAATGTTTAAAATAAATTACTACATGTTTTGCTTACAGGTTACTTTGTATTAAGGATTGTATACTCGTTTCCAAACCACCTATGAGGTAGAGTATTTGGCTCGTTTTTTTTAATGTGGTATCTCCATCTACGATGATGCTCAAATTGTATTTACTGTACAACCACCAGAAATGTGTGGTAGGGGCGTTTCAAGCAATTGTGGACTTACGCATAGATGTCGATCCGGGCGTAACTTAAGACTAACTTAATGACTAAAATATCCCGGTATCGACAGACTGGGCGGCCACGCAACAGACAATGGTGGACTTACGCATCGAAGCCGATCCGGGCATATCTTAAGACTAACTTATGACTAACTTAATGACTAAAATATCCCGGTATCGACAGACTGAGCGGCCACGCAACAGACAACGGTGGACTTACGCATCGAAGTCGATCCGGGCATAACTTAAGACTAACTTAATGACTAAAATATCCCGGTATCGACAGACTGAGCGGCCACGCAACAGACATTGGTGGACTTATGCATCGAAGCCGATCCGGGCGTAACTTAAGACTAACTTAATGACTAACTTAAGACTAACTTAATGACTAACTTAAGACTAACTTAATGACTAAAATATCCCGGTATCGACAAACTTTGCGTATAAGAGAGTACGAAGGAGGTTATCCAGTAGGATCGCGGGATAGATATTGGTAATTTGATTTACAAAAAAATCTTGTTGGTGTACACAATATTGTGACTTGATTAACTGGACGCAAATTTTAAAGTAAGTAATTAATTTTTACTAAGCAGAAAATGTGAGAGGTTTATGAACTATAACGAGAACGACCACAACACGAAAGTGAGAAGTTACAAACGAAAAAATTGTTAAAGTAGTTTAGTTCAATTATCTGAAATGATATAGTGCTAAAATGTGTAAATTTACTTAAATAAATAAATTATAATAATTGTGCGGTTGTCCAAAATAATTTATAAAGGGAGAATTGAGAGTAAAATGGCATCATCGTACATAGACCTAATCCACACAGTACTTGACTTAGTAGGGGGGAGAGGAGGTAACTCAATTGTTTAGATATTTTAGCGTAGGTACCTACTAGGTGTCTTTATTTTACTTCCAAGTGAGACCAGAATGTATTACTTAGAAATATATTGATTTAGTTGAAAAAAATATTTCCAATAATTACACTCCCTTTTAATAAATTCGTCCGAGGAATACTTTACTTATACTAAATCAAGCACTAGAAAAAGGTCTAGAATTAACAAACCAGTCATATAAAAAAAATGTTTTTTTAATTATTTTATTTTGAATTTAATATGTAAGAATTTTACTGAGCAGAGAAACTTAAGTACAATTATTTCGTCTGTAGTTAATTCCGGACCCTTACAGCTGTATACAAATTAAGTTATTATTAATATTTAACATAAATTACTACATGTTTTGCTTACGAGTTACTTCGTATTATTTCTTTTTATTAGAAATTTATGATCGACAGCCACGTGTAAATAATTGCACTTGAATCTAAAAAAAAATTAACATAATATTAGTCAATAGTATTTAGTAATAATTAGATTTGAACTTTAGATTTGGTATCTAAATTATTATATATTAATAGATTTCTACACAGCATGCTGGGTTTTTGCATTACCTACTCTGAAGCTCAAATGTGAAATCGCCCTGTTAGACTCTAAAAATGCTTAAATGAATTCACTAACTTTTAAAATTCCAAGTGTTCTTATAAAAGTTTTTTTTTTTTTTTAAACAGTTATTATAAATAACAATGATAGAGAAGAACATATTGCTGTATATGTTACATAATATAATAACTGTATGTGTTTGAAGTACCTACCATCAAGTCACCAGGCGAAATCCCTTTTGAGTTTTTGGTTGCCTTCGGAAATAGCTTGAAGTTACTTCCAAACTTATGGTAGAACATGGCAGTAATTCATAGTAAGTCATTCGAAAAAGTAATTGTTTTAACGTAAAATATATCTACAGAACGCTTCGACACAATGCATATTGTTCGCTGAAAATATTGAAATCTAAGTATTGACTTTTAATATACTATCAATATACAATTGCTACGTCTTGTTATTCATACAACAAGCAGAAGTTAACATAGAAACGAATTGTTTTCGGCAGTTAAAAAAAACTCACATAGAGTCAGCAAAGGTTTGCAAATTTTGTGTTCAAGGAGATTCTATATTATATTATACATAATAAAAGATCTCTTTGAACACAAAATTTGCTTTACATTATTAATATTAATTTAGCATAGATTGAATTAATTGACAGAGTAATTGTGGTTGATAGAAGGGTGTATATAGTAGCTCGTCCAGTATGCACATGCGTTTTATTCAAACAGTTATTTATTATAAAAATAATCTTAATCAAATGAAAGATGTAAAACTTAATTAATTAAATATTAATGAAAATGGTTTGAAAATATTTTTAAATAATATGATATGTCATTGTTACTTTGTTTGACATTACACTGGTGCAGACGACGCAACGCCTTAATTAGTGAAAAAAATAAATTATGTTTTTAATCTTAAATCATATGTTTATTATTTCTATAATTATTAGGATTTAGGAATATGGTTTTACATTTTTTTTAATGCAATTTAAGAAGTATAGTTTAGAGGGACAGATAATTTTATTAGGGCCACGATATGATTAGAGATGCCTACTGAAAGATTTTGACGTACTTTCCAACTTCTTAACGCATAGCCCTAAACATGTCACACGAGCCTTCCCTTCACTCATATCACCAATCACCGGACCCTATTTTCAAACTTGCGTCAATTTATTACCCAATCACCGACAGCTGATCTATTGTCAATTTCCTTTTTTGAAATTCGCATTGGTACTCACCTATACATCTAGTTTGTAAAACAATATTAACAATATTTTAATATAATAATAATTTACCAGCAATAAATTGTCTTTAGAGTTTGTAAAGAAAACCCGTTTTTCAAAACATACTTACACGTTTTATAAAAAGTAAAACAGAATGTTCATTGATAAAATCTGAATGAAATTGTGATGTTTTTTAAGTATTTATTACCGATATACTATACATATCTATTTCAAACAATACATTATACGAAAGTATTGGATACCCGACAAAATAATGAAGTACATATCCAGTATAGGCGGGGTGTGTGGGAGGCGCAGTCCATATCTTCATAGGTCTATGATTCATACACCTGACATTTATCGACTACGCGGTATATATATACCTATTAAACTGATATGGTTCTATTTAATTAAAATCCTAAATATTATTTACTAGTTTTATCTTAAAATAAACCCCGAAAATAGCCGAATGAACATAATAACTGATTTTTATAGAGTTGAAAAAATCAAATTACAGTATTGTTCGTTTGACCAATTTAACTCTGTTATTTTATTGTTTTGACTTTTAGGTCATATTTTAATCTGTACTCTTGCTCCCCGTAGGGGTAAACCGGTAATAAAAATAGACAAAAACAATATTATCAAATTAATATTTGCATTTTGTTTTCGGAAAGGGGGTCCGGTACTCATGATGTACCTTCTTCCGTTATTACTAATAATCGATTGTTCTGTGACTGTGACAATGGCTATGCTGTTCAAGTTCTCTCATAATATTGTGTTGTATTATGCGATGATCAGCATAATATTATTATTTTATCATTCAGCTGTGGATTATTCGAACACCGCGCCGTCGTCGTGCACCATAGTTCCAAAGACGTTGCACTATCAACGTGAAGTGTCTTTGGACGCATTTGTAGTTTTCCGTTAACGGTCGTGATAATAATTTGTATATTGTTGAAAATTGAGCGCAATGCTCGAGGGCCTACTGTTAACTGTTTACCTGTAGTTTAATAATTTAACGGTCGGTCTTCTTTCATCCTTGAACAAATTCGTGCTGTCTTATACGTAATAAGCGATTTCAGTTTTTGGCCATTCTCATGTTGTCGCATTCGTTTTAGTAGTATAACTTATTTATGTATTCAGTATTCGTGTTAGTAGTAGTGTTATATTATTTATGACAAAGTATTTTTAATTTTCAAACAACATGAATCAATTCGAACAATTAATTCTCCGCTGGGTAAGTAAATTGAACGTTGGTAGCTGTTAATTACGACGAAATCGGTTGTAATGTGTTTTATGAAACATAACATTATTACTATAACTAACCAATAAAGTTAATTTAATACTTATTAAATCAATTAAAGTATATTGGTTGTTAAATGTGTAATTTTTTAAACCTTTGATAACCAATATTTTTTATTGCCTTTGAACATATAGCCATATAATTGGTAGGTAGTTTATTGACTTAAAGTTCAAAACTTAGGTACATTAATACATACTCTAATACACGAATATTCCTAATTTAAGTGTTGAATTAATCAGTACTTGACTCGTGTTTATGTTACAGGTATGTCTATTTGATGACTTTAGGGATAATGACTTCTCCGACATTTCCCTACTTGTAACCAGCAGTAATTTCCAAAAACTCGTTAACGATGTGTAAGTATTTGTATATAAAAAATACTAAGTTATCAACTGGTTAGCTGCCACAGATAAACATGAAAGAAACAGAAAAACATACAAAAAATTAATTTCATTAACTCGAACCAAAAATAATACACGAATCACTTCAGATCGACTACAAAATAATCATTAAAATTAAATGGTGCTTGGCGAAATTTATGGGATTGCTGGCACTAACCATAGCAGCTAACGTGTTGATAAATGTTTCATATATAAATAAATAAATTCAATATCATAACCATACATTTTCACTTTCAGCTTTTGTTATAAATCAGCTGTGTCGTCTTCAACAAAAATTGAACAACTATACAACACAATAAAAAGTATATAACTTAATTAAATGTAACATTTTGTAACTTCTTAGTGTAATTTCTAAATTGTACTTTTTCTTATCTTGTAGCTAATTATCAGGAATTTGAAGTCGAAGGACCTTCTAACTTGCATACCGAAGAAAACTCGTGTTACACCTGTGTAGTTGTGTTATTACACGCTTTATTGAAATGCACAAACAATAAATTTAGAGATCAGCTAAGTGAACGAATGGACGATAAAGAACAAGTATTATTGGCGAAATTCCTAGAAGCTACCCAAAGCGCACTATTTACTAAACAAAATATATCTGAAGCGTTGGACTCGGCTTTCTCTGATGGAACTAAAAATTCAGAATCTTATTTAGCAGGTTTATAAAATAATTTACTTTTTTTGAAATAAGTTATTTAAATGTCTTATGTATACTTACAGAAGAGTTTTCTAACAATGTTACTCCAAAAAAGACAAATCCGTTACGTCGCAGTTATCTGCAAGAATTCTGTGAAGTAATATATTTTTTATATTATTATGTAGTCATATAGTGAATAAATTGAATAACATTTTTTATTTTATTTTTTGCATCACATATTTTTATTGTATAATATATGTTATTTATTTTTTAAATTAGTCCCCAAAGTCTCAATCCTTAATCTATCAAGAAAAAGATAAAGTCATTGCCAAACTTACTGAAGATTATAAAAACGAGTGTGAAGAAAATTATAAGTTGGCTGAGAGTAATAGATTATTAGAAGAATTAAATGTAAAACTTAGTAAGTTATTTATGTTATTTCTGTATTCAATTTAAACTGATTACTATTTTTCCAAATAATCTAGTTAGCTAAGTGTTTTTAAAAATTATAACTGTTATTCAAGGTACTAAATTAGAAGACAAAGACAAAGTAATAAAATTTCTAAAAGATGAAATTGAAGAATTATCTAAACCTAAAGAGGTGCCAGTCCATGCTGAAGTCAACAACGAGTGGCTAGTAAAGAAACTCAACCAAGATGTTTACGACTTGGAGAAAAATGTTGTCGATTTAAAACAACAAATTGTAGATCTAGAAAATGCTCATACAGATCTTAACGCAAAAGTGATTGTTACGATAAATTTAATTACAACAATAGTTTAAATCTACTTTACCTGACAACTTTTTTTCTACTATTGCGAGCAGCGTTCAATTTTTGCAGATTTAAAAATTAAGGGGGGAAAGGTGTCAGTTAAAGTAGATTTATACCATAATAATTAACAGCTGTCTATTGTGGTAGTTTATTGCCTAGAATTTGTCTTAAATACTTAAAATACTAAAAAAATTATTGTTATTTTAGTTCCAAAAGAAAAATTCAGAATATGAAAATGTTTTAAATGAGTTTGAGAAAAATGAATCTGAAAAAATATTAATGAAAAATACAATTGAATCTTACAAAGAAGCAATCCTTGTCAAAGAAGAAGAAATTGTGGTGAGTATTTTATTGTTAAAAATATCCAATAATTATTAAAAAATAAAATCATAAATTGAATGATTATTCGATAATGTACATGAGCTAAAGTTTTATTTTTCTATTTTAGTCATTGAAAGATGAACTTTATAGTAAAGCTTTATCGAAAAGTCCTGTGTTCAATTCGAGTAAAAATGATGATGCAAATGTGGCCCAATCAAATACATTGTTTGATGAACTGAAATGTTTGAAACTCGAAGAGGTAACACGTGACAAAGAAAAATTCAAACAAAAGTATAAATCTACCAGAAAAGACCTTTCTAATGTGAGTGTTATACATTTTTCTTTCTTTATTCTTTCTTTTTATTTTATTTTTTTATTGTATAGGCTGAAAATGAAATTAAAGACTTGAATTCAGCCATAGCTAAATTAAAACATCGGCTACATAATCTCGAAGCTAATGAAAAGGATCTACTGAATGATTGCTCGAATAAGAAAAAGGAAGTTCAAGAACTACGAAAAAAGAATAACATGTTAGAAAACAAGATTAAAGAGTTACACGATTCTGTGAAAGATAAGGAGTATCGTATGAAATCGCTTTGTTCCGATTTAAATAAAAAAGAAATCCATATCAAGGATTTATCAAATGAAATGGAAACTATTAAAAAAGCCAAGATTATGATCGAGCTAATATTGACCAAAACAAATACTGAAATAGAGGCGTTGCATGAAGAAAACAACAAACAGGTACACAACTTACTTTCGACGATTGAAAAGTATAAACTTTCAGAAGATGCATCTAAAGAGAATATTTTACAATTGGCAAACACTGTAAACGATCTAAAAGCCGATTTGGAAAACAAAATGCATCAAATACTATTCTGTGAAAAACAATTATCGGAAAATTGTCAAATTTTAAATACGAAAGAAGAACAATTAGCGATGCTTTATCAAGAAAAATTAATGGTGGAATCCCAGTTAAACAGTGTTAATACGGAAATAGAAAAGCAACAAAAATTGTCTAGTACCAAAATTCGCGAATTGGAAAATTGTTTAGAGTATCACCTGGATGAATTAAAAAATGCTTTAGGTAAAATAGAAAAAATGGAAGAAAAAATAAATAGCAAACAAAAGCAAGTAGACCAATATGTTGAGCAAATAACAAAACAAAAAGAATTTATTAATGAGTTGGAGTGTGTTAAATGTAAATTAAATACTCAGATAACTAATCTTGATGACCAATTATTAAAGAAAAACTGTGAAGCTAAAGATTTAGAAGAGAAAATAAAGTATTATTTATTAACTTTAGAGAAAAAACAAAACGAATTGGATGATAGCGTTGCAATGGTTAATGAAAATACACGTACTATTTCGAATTTGAAACAACAAAAACTTGATATTGAAAATGAATTAAAATTTACTGTTGAAAATTTAATGGATAAAACTAACAAACTTAAACTTTTAGAGGAAAAATTATCAAACAGCGAGTTGGACAACAAGAACTTAAAGAAGGAACTTGAAGTAAAAATTTTGGAAGCTGATAATCTCAGAAAAGATCTAGAAATCACTGTTAATAATATGAAAAATCAACAAGATATTTATGACAAGCAACTAAAAGAAATAAAAAGTAATTTGGAAACTTCTGAAAACAAAATAATTGAACAAGCGAATGAATTGGAAAAAAATCAAAATTGCCTTAAAGCTAAAAATATTGAAATAGGTAAAAAAACAGATTTAATTAAAAAACAAAAGGAAAATATCACTTGTTTGCAAACTCAACGTAGCGATCTAGAAGAAAAGTTAGAAGGGATCGAACAATGTTTGTTGAAAAAAGAAACTGAGGTGTCAAATCTGGAAAATAATCTACAGGAAAAAGATGTAATAATTAAAAATTTAGAAGACCAATTGGGAGTTATGTCTATAGAAAAAGTAATGCTTGAAACAAATTTGAACGAAACGTTTGATCAAATAAAAAAGTCACGCGATGATTTTACTCAACAAGTTAATGACATGATGAGCCAGTTAAACAATCGCGCTGAGGAAATTGGTCGTTTAAAGAATCATTCATCAAATCTCGAAAGCTTATTGCAAGAAAGAAAAATAGAACTTGACGATCAAATCACAATGACATTGGACCAAATTGAAGTAACAAAAAATATAAAAATCGAAAAAGAACTCTTAGAAAACCAAATTTACAATGCAAATGAATGTATAAGTACTTTGCAGAATGAGATTAAATCTTTAGAAGAGAAACAAAATGAATGTGAAACATGTATTCAAAAATTAGAACAAAGATTGAATGATGTCTCATTTGAAAAAACGTCACTCGAAAACAATTTGCAGAATAGTGTTAGCAAAACAGTAGTAGAAGAACTTAATGAGCAAATAAAAGATTTGAACAACAATCTTGAAAACCGTTTGAATGAAATTGGCGAACTTAGAAAGTCTTTATCGGAAATGGACAATGATTTAAATCAAAAGCAAATTAATTTTGAGCATGTTATCCAAGAAAACGATAATTTAAAAACCACTATAAATTTTTATGAAAGTGAAAACAACGAGTTACAAAATAGTTTAGGTGAACTGAAAAATTATCTAACACAAACTAATGAAAATATAGCATTACTACAGAATGAAATATCCGCTTCCTCTTCTTCGAGATTAATATTGGAACAACAATTAGTGAAGGTACATGAAGCGTTGAATAACAAAAGTATTGAATTTGAAAATCAAATTCGTTTGTTCGAAGAACTGAAAGAAAAAATTGGTAAAATGTCTGACGAAAGAGAAATTAATCTAAGTAAAATAAAATCGCTTGAAGATAATTTATCACATAAAGAGTACGAGTTCAATCTATCTGAAGGAAAATTGTATGATTGTAGCATTACAATTGACGATTTAGAAAACAAATTAGATGCCATGAAAAAAGAAAATATATCGTTGGCATTGCGGCTCGACGAAAATCAAACACTGCTGATTAGCGCCAAAGAGGATCTCACTCGGCAGTTGGAAGTTCAAGAACAATTAAATGCCAAACAAAGGGAATTGGAAAATGAAATTAAACTATTAAACGATCAAATTTCTGTATTGGAATTGGAAAAAGATGGCTTTTCTGCAGAAATTGCGAAGCTAAACAATTTGTTAAAAACTGTAGAGAGCGATTTGTCAGAGCGAGAACAAGAACTTGAACATCAAAAATCGTGTTTACAGTCAGAAAATGATGAACATAAGTTACTTATGGAAATTATGCATCAAGAATCTACGAAATGCCGTGAAGAGATTGAAGAAAAATTGTCGACCTTACAAGAACATTATAATCAATGTGATGTAGAGTTAACTGAACAACTGGAGATAACCGACAAACAAAAACAAGACATTGCACTTTTGAATTTGGAAAAAGATAACTTGTCAAATGAAATAAATATGTTGAAGGATACTATAAAACAAAAAGATTGTGTTTTAGGGTCTAACCAGAACAAACTGCTAGAATACGAAGAACAAAATGACAATTTAATCACTGAAAAAGCATCTTTAGAAGTGGAATTGAGTCAATCCAAATTACAATTAGAAAACATTCGACTAGAATTAACTAAGCGAACTGATGAAATGGCTAAAGAGCTGCTGATTTTACAGGAAAGACTAATTAGTAAAGAGGCAAATTTAGAAATGCAAGTTAAAGAATGTGACGAAAAAGTGAAAATTATTTCTGTTTTAACATCGGAAAAAGATAATTTGATAATCGAAAGAAATTCTCTACAAGATTGTTTATTGGAAAAAGAATCGACTTTGGCACTAAATCAGGAAAAACTAAACAAACATATAAAATCTCTTGAGGAACTACAGATCGAAAAAGAACATATAGAATTAGAGCTAAATGAAACAAAAAAGCATATTGAAAATATTCAGCAAGACTTAACGCGTCAAATTGAAATGTCTAAGAGCGATTATAATGAGCTTAAACAACATCTTGAACGGGCACAACTAACAATTGAAGAACAAAAGGCACAATATGTTGAACATATAGACATGATTGCCATTTTAAAAAGTGAAAATACTAATTTAATAGACAAAATTAGTACACTTGAACAATTGCTTTTGCAAAATGATTCTGAATCTATTGATTTCAAAGATAAATGTGAAAGAAATGAAAACAGAAATTTGTCTTTGATAACCGAGTTGAATGAACTTAAATCTCAGTTAAAGACATTGCACGAAGAATCTGCCCAACAAATCACTTGTATGAATAACGAATTGACTGAAGTTCAGAATGACATAAGTTTTAAGCAGTCTGATTTGAAAAAACAACTGGAATTGAAATATAGTTCGCTGTCTGAAATCTATTGGAAAATAAACGATTTGAAAAATGTCAAATCTGAACTTGAAGAATTACTTAAAAACGAAAAAATTAACTTTGAAAACTGTTTGAATAGTTATACAAAAATAAATATTACAAATATTTCTGTAAAACCTGAGCCATTAGACGACGACCATCAAGATTCACTAATGGAAGTTATTACATCGGCTGATACTTTTATTGAACAAAACGGTATTCAGCTAGGACAAGTCGATAACATTAACGAGTATTCCATTATTGAAAGATTAAAGAAATTATTTGAAGCACTTAAATTATTTATTATTAATATTAACACTCAAAGCAGTGGACGAGCAATTATTCATACTGAAAATCAACTGACAGATGAAGCTTATGCTGAACTACTTGCGAAGTCAAATAGGTATGTAATTGAAACTAAGTTTACATGTAACGTGTAGGTAATATATATACTTTTTTTTTTCAGTCAACAAGAAACCATTAAATACTTGGAAGCTGAAATGCTAAAACTGAAAACAGAATGTAATTACAAAATGACTAAAGTACAACAAAAAACGCAGGAATATGTTACATCTGAATATGAAAAGAAATTTGAACGCAAAAGAGAGCAAATGGTAAAAAAATATTAACCTTTTGTTTAATTAGACTTCACGTGTTTTTTAGTTAACTTTTATATATTTAATTTAATTTATAATTATAGAAACAATTTTGCAAAGATCTCGAAACTAAAATTCATCAAGACTATGAAGCAAAATTAATGAAGTACAAAGAAAAGGTACAATTTTTTATCAGAATACAAATTATTACTCTTACAAAACGTTTAACAAATTGTAATAACATATTTTCATTTAGATAAACAAAGATGAAATTCATATTAAAGAACTTGGTCAACAATTATGGGAAGTTAGTGAAAAATATTTACGTCTCCAACAAAAAGATAGAAGAGAATCGACTGCATCCTTGCCATTTGATATCTCCAATGTAAATTCTTGTAAATTATTTTTATATGTTGTACCATAAATAATAATATATTTTTTACATACAGATTTCATCAATGTCAAAATACAATTCTAACACACTTCCCAAATCCAGCTCAGCCAGTCAAATTAGGTGAGAATAGTTCATTATCTATAAAAGTTTATTATTTTGAATCATAATTTTAGATATAAACAGTGGTTGGTCTTTTGGGTACCTGCCTCCCCTTTTTCTATGTACGTTTGTACTCATAACAAAAATGTTTATACTTGCAAATAGAGTACACAATTTTGGTTGTGAGAACACGTAGTTAGAGAAAAGTGGGAGGTGAGTACACACAGTGCAAAGGACTACACCATTGCATATGAATAACATTTTTGTCATTTATTGTCGTTGTACATGTCATTATAATATTGGTTTCGCCTTTTTTTTTTAGGTCTTTAGTTGATGAATCTTATCAAAACAAACGAAATGTCCCTTCAGGAATTGGTAAAAAATTCAGTTTATCGTCTGGTGCGTTACTAACAAATAACTAACTTTTTATAATGCTTAGCCATTTAACCATAATAATAATACTAATTTTTCATATTGATTTTTTACTACTTTTATACAGTATTCATACTCTTAATGTGAATACTGAAGTAATGATAAATACAATTAATAGTTAATGCTATGTTTTAAATGCCTTAAATTTTTTTGGATGCATTAACAGCTTATACATGTTAACAATAATGTTTAAGCCTATCAAAAGTGAAATTATGCAAGCAATTTTTCTTATTCTAAAATTGAGATTATTGGCGTAAGTTAAAACCAAAGTAAGGTTTCGCTTACAACAACATTTTTGTTTGCCACTTTACTTTTGATGGTTTCTTAAAATACAATGGAAAATATTGATTCTACTCTTATGTTTTTTTTAATGTGTGTTAGATTAAAATTAAACTATACTAATAACTTTTATTAAAATAAAGGTAAAATATTTCCTAAAGAAGAAGACGAAGAAGGAGAAATGTTCAATCATTCTTGTTTAGCCGATTTGAAACAAGGTAAAGTGAGGTTAAATGATAACAATGGAAAACAATACTCGGAACGATTGTCGGAATTGCAAGCTCGTAATTCCCTTTGTCCCCCACATTTGAGAAGTTGTTATGCAGTCGAAACCAATTACTTGCCAAATGCTTCTTTAATTACGGAAGAAGACATAAAAGTAATTACTTTAGTTTTTATAATTTACATTTTAATAACTATGATTTAACAAAGATCAAAAATACTTAAGCTCTTTATGCATTTTTTTTTTTTTTTTGCAGACCATTAGCAGTTATAGTGATTGTGAAAGTGAAAATTTAATACCGAATGACCGTAAAAAAAAAGATAGAAATCAGGTATGTTTGTGTAAAATTTATCCATTTCCAACATTTTAATTAATTGGTTAACATTTATTTTTCAGACATCTTATAAAAAACCAGGACCTCCGACACCTAGTAAAAACGGCGGTCGTGTTTCGTTATCGGTTAGTATTCAAATAAAATTTACTTGTCAATGTTGTACAGTAATTTAATTATAATAAACTACTTCAAAATACTGTAAATATGTATTTAATAAAGTGCTATACCTACAGAAATGCTCATTTTTTTCAGGGTAACGCAAAAACAACTTTAAAAGAAACAAAAGAATCAAATTCTAATAGAAGACGGGCCAGTAGTACACCAAACAAGTTATTTGGCTTATTTATGAGTAAGAAGAACTAATGACTTCTATTTTAATTATTATTTATATATTTAATGTTTAGTAATAATTGACTGTTGCACTTGTCAATTTTACTTTACTTCAAGGATTTTTTTTATTTCCACTATTCCTTATTTTATATTTGTATTATATTCTACATTGTATTATTTTTTTTATTATTACTATGTGTTACATTTGTACTTATTATCTTTTATTGTTAACATTTTATCGAATAAGCATTTTTTTTTTTTTTATGGAAAAGTGAATTATTTTTTAAAAACCTATTTTTATTTTTTATATTGACATATTTGAGATTAGTAGAACTTTAATGTGCATACTATAAGAACATTAAAAATTCAGTCAATCGAAACCTTTTGGCACAAACCATTCTTGAAAAAAAAAAACCTGTATCCAATCCAAGTAAGCCACAAGACAGATTTAACCAGTATTTATTATGGACAATTCCTCATATTTAAACTATAACAATTTTTAAAATAAATTGTATATGCAGACGGTAATAAACGTCAAAGGTAAAAATACATTTTGTAGAGGATTTTGCCCCAATTTCCTTGTGTCAAAACATACCATAATGTGTATTACTCGCTCCATGGCGACTTAATAGCGAAAATACTTATTATATTAAAAAAACGAAAGATGACAGGGTTTTAGAGACCATGTCATATCACATTTTTTTAAGTGTTTGCTCCAAATTCTAAAACCACTATGGGTCAAGTAAAACACATTCTGCGTATAGTTATGTTTAGATAAACATTTTTTTTTAAATCGCTGTCAAGGATGCTGTGATAGTCCGAAAAATGAATTATCTGTCAAAAAAGAGTCCTAATATTACTGAACTAATAATTTCACATTACAGTTTAATCTTTAAATTAGGATTTTGCAAAAAAAAAATTGCCTATACATAACTCCTTAATAAATAAGGGGTATAACGTCCTCTTAAATCTTACCTAATATCATAATAAAGACATAATCCAACACTCCAAACGAATAACCAATATAATATTTTTAGACTCTACGTCGAAACTAAATTTTAAAAAAATAATAAATAACAATTTTCAAAACAACAAGTACCTAACGAGACACACAAACGAATTTTTTAGTTTTTTCCATTCATATTTTATAGGTAGACATACGGAGATACCTACCTACTATTAAAAATTATAATACTTTGACTAAGGTTAAAGATTAATGACGTCCACCCATATATATTAGGTGTGTAAATGTTTTTAGGAGGTATAAAAATATGTCCTATAAAAAAAACGAATGCACGACCACTCCTACATTTGCATTAAAAAAATACTTTGTATTTGAAAAAAATATACAATAGGTACAGTACAGCAGATTTACAGTTTTATTTTTAATTTGTCAAGCGTTGTTGTCGAGTGCGGTGTGTATGTTCAAAACTGAATTTAGGTAGTCCGTAGTTTGACTATTATACTATAGTTAATAATTAATATATCGAATACAAACTAATAACTATAAAACATACATAATATAATATTCAATGTAGCTACGTAGGTATGTATATTTTATTCACTTATTTACAGTAATAATTATATTACAATTATTAGCAATGCAATTGCTTAGGCGATTCGTAAATTAAAAACAAAACAATATTTTACTAACATTCTTGTATTAATTGTAATTATTTAATGTTCATTACGTAAGTAATTGGTCCATGGTTAAATTAAAAGTTTTTTGTTTATCAATTAAACTGAATAAAGACGTTTAATTTAAAAACCAAAAAAAATATGTTCAAAGTACTTATTATTTTTAAAAAAATAACTAAAAATAAATAAATAATAAATATCGTTATTTCTCGAATTAAAGTGGTTTCTCTATGACATTTTTCGAACCGCTACTTGGATATTGAACTTTATTTCAATTTTCAAACGAAAGTTGTAAGCTTATTCTTTAAGTAGTAACCACTAACCTTAAAAAAGGTAGGTATAATAGATGTTAACTTCACTGTCAGTTGTTTGTCAGATTATGTAGGTTAAAAGCACAGTTATGTTCTATAGACCATAGTTATTATAATTGATTGACAATCGTTCATTATTTATTGACTACTAACGAATTTTTATGTGTATAAATTATTGATTTCAATAAAGCTATTGAAGTAGTCTAGAATTTTTGAAAACCGGTAAAAATTAATCTAAATTTATTTCAGACTGATTAATTTTAATCTCTATATAATTAGGACCTTTAAAAACAGCACTTATGTTAATAGATATATAGTTCTTTTACAAAAATATGACTACAATTTAATTTTTAAAAAATTTCCTTGGAGTCCTATATGCGTCTATTAATACAAATTTTTTTCGAATTTTATTATTTTTTAGGGTATTTTGTTGTTTCTGTCAATATGTTCTTTTTTTTAGATAGATGATAACAGCTATAATACAAAATAATATATAAGTTTTAAATCTAAATTCAGGGTATCTATATAATATATTTTATACTTATTATTCTTATTCCCTATAAAAGAATCACTGCCTCTATATTTTCTATAAATTGTATTTTTCATCTTTTATCAATATTAACGTTGTATTAATTATTGTATTTGGAAATTAAAACGGACCAAAAAAAAGTTTTCTACGTCTTAATTTTTTTAATGCGGTTATGCTTAAGGTATAGGCGGTATATTATTGCTTTAGTAGAGGTAGCGTCTAATGTAGTACACTATTAGCACCTACATTATAGTATTGTATAGTAAACGAACCTTGAGTTGCTTCCTACACATAAAATGATTTACAACCGCGTGCTCGTGCTAAAAAAATGACGTTTTTGTTATACCATTGCCAGATAGGCGAATGCCCTCGACTATCAATAATGAATGTAAAAATATAGTATAAACGTCACTACTGTAACCACACAATTGATTTTTTTCTTATTAACAGATAGTAATTGTGGTTTGATGGCATTTCATATTTTTTTTTATAGTATTAACTTCAAGGAAGCTCAAGTCTAAAAATCGTGTGACAGTCGTTGTCAATTGTCATGTCGAAAAGGTATGTTTGGTATTTTACATAATATTGTATTATATTATATTATTATAATTTTGATTGCAAGCATTGTGATTTATTAGTCATTTTGCTATTTATTTTAACATTAGTCAACTACTAAAAAACCACTTTTTCCGCGCCCGATTACGCGTTCTTATCGTTCACCAGACAATTGTACTGATAACAGATTACAAAATTAATGATAACGATTATAAAATATTATGCAGCTAAACAGTAAACTAACTCACAGACAAATGACAATAGGTTATGCGAAAATAATAAATAATATCAATTACCATTTAATGATCGATCGTTAATGCGCTATTAAAATAATTGTTACCGGTGAGCAGTTTTTTTTTTGTCGATAATAACAGTTATAAATTGTTGTTGCATACCTACCCAGTGGTTTTACTTGTTAATAATTTCCATGGTTATTTGTTTCTGTTATTCAGGTTTTGAAATATAGTTATAAAATGTATTTACTATGGTCTATAGCCAAGTAATCAGCATCTAGTCAACAATGGAAGTCGGAATGCACAGTACAATAAATAACAGAATGAGGATGTGGCCAAATCGCCAGAGTATTGGATTGCGTATACGATCAGCCTCGGCAGGTCGTGACAAAAGATCTGGTTAGTTTTTAAAAATATGACCTAGAATTTATTTACAACAATAAGTATAGTTTAATTTTGTTTTTTCATAAGAACTTCGCAACCGATCTTGGACATACCTATTCGATAACTTGCGGCGGAATATTGATGAAATTTATCAAATATGCGAAAGTGATGAAAATGTTTACGAATGCAAAGTTAGTAGTGCATCTAAATATGTATTTGGATGTTTATTCTGATGCTGAAGTAATATTTTTAATATTTTAGGAGGCAATAATGGTTTTACAAAACTATATACATGACTTTCATAGCTTAGTAGAATGGTTTCGCTTAAAATGGGAGTATGAACATACAGATCCACCTCAAAGACCAAATTTTCTTGCTTGGGAAATAAGAGGTGCTTCACCTAGAAAGGTAATAATTTATAGGTTTTTATTTACTTTATCCAGATATTTTACTATACATGATTGTGTGTTTAGATGCTTCAAAAACCGTGCATTTCTCCTGGACTAACACGGAAAAAATTAGACCTTTTATCGGAATCGTTAAGTAGTGACAAAAGTAATACTGATTTTCATGAAGTTGATGAAAAAGAAGATAATTCAATAAAAAAGTTATTTACAAACCAATGTAGTCAAACAGATTTTGAGCCTATAACTAAGGTAGTAACTGAACTAGAAGATACTTCAAAGAAAGTGTTTAAACCGATTACAAAACCAATTGTGAAATCATTGACAGTTGATAATCAAAAGAAAAAAATTCCTGTTTTCGTTCCTAAACCAGTCAAACTGTTAAAATCAAAAGAAGATGATAAAGAAAAAGCCAAAACAGAACCGTTAAAAAGAACTCTTACATCAATGGCTCATTTGTCTCGTTCGTCAACAACCGTCGTAAACACAAAGTCTGTAGAATGTATTAAAAAAACCTCTACGAGTATACATTCAAAAGAAGAAAAACCCAAGTTAGTTACTAAAAAAAATACTACTGCTGTGAATGTAAACTCTAAAAAAATTCCATCATCGAACGATGTAAAGAAAAATAATGTTGATGAATCATCTCGTGTAACTGACAACAGTAATCAGAAGATCAATTTAGCTAAATCTAAAAGAAAATCTGTCGAATCGCTTCAAATGGTAAATAATGTCTCTCCAAAACCAGAAAAAATTACACGTTCAAAGACTTCTATCGACATGAAAGCAATAAAAGTTTCAAAACGTGGTATCATCAAAGGGAACGACGGTTGGGAAACTGTGATTAGATCACGTCGTAGTAATCCGTTAACACAAAGTTCGAGTAGTATTAAGGTAAAAACCCAATTTGATATTAAAAAACGTTTCCAAGTTCCATCGGCCGCCAGTTCATTGCCAGCTTTATCATTGGACTTGGTGTCTAGTCCTGAGGAACCTGAGCCCAAAAATGTAATTCCGGATAAAAACGAACGCCCAATCATATCAAATGCGGTTACATATCCAAAGAAAAAAGGTAAACTAGTAAAGCCGCCAATCCAAAAATGCAAAAAAATCGATCAGATAAGAAATGAAATGTTAAAAAATGAAATCGAAGAACGTCGAATGTGCGACGAAGAACTATTACGTAATAGACAGTTTTTTGATGAAGAGATGATGTTAGCCAGAGAAATACGAGAGTTAGAAAATGCCGAAAGTAGTTGTAGTGATGATATGACTCAATCGGACCGTTACTCAGATCTTTTGGATAATATGATTCTCACCGAACGAATGTACACTATTAACGAAATTAAAGCACTAATAGAGTATGGCAATGAAAGTGCTATTGATTCTATCGGTATGCAATCTTGGGATATAAGTAGATCTACTGAATCAATAAAACAAACGTACAGTGCCCGACAAGCAAAAGCCCATCAAAAACGACAGCAATTGCTTCTAGATAAATCATCTAAAGTGCGTGAATTACTCAAGAAGGTTAGTTGTTTAAATTATTAATTGTTAACCATTTGTGAATTAATTTTATTATCATAAAAAAATTTGTGTTTATAGGTCGGCGAAAGAAAAATGTTACAAACGCAACTCATTGACGAAAAACGCATAAATATAGATAAGAAATTAAAACGTGCCGAGGAAAATCGCAAGCAACACTTGCAGCAGATTCAAAAGAAAGCACACGACGAAGAAGAGAAACTTCGTGAAATAGCTTTTATCAATGAACTCGAAGCACAAAATCGAAGACACGACATATTGACACTGTGGCAAGAGCAGGAAGACCGATTGCAAACCATACTTGAAGAGCGTAAACGCAATCAAGAACGAAAAGCTGCCAAAGAAGCTGCTGTTGAAGAGCGTCTCAAAGCGTTAGAAGCTGAACGTCAAGAGCGTATCGAGCAGATATTGGAGAGGAGACGTATTAAAGAAGAACGAATAGGTAGAGAACAACAGGAAAAAGAGAAGGAGAGACAGGAGTTAGCCAGGGAAAAAGCTAAAGAAAGAGAAAATAAGCTTACAGCGTTGTATGCAGCACAAATGGCTAGTACCGAAGAATTACAGAAGAAAATACAACAAAAGCAAAAGGAATCGGCAAAGAGGCATGAACAAAATATTGAGCATATCAGACAAAGAGCTCTGGAGTTGGGCGTACAAAAAAATGATATCGACTTGGACAAATATTGCACCCCGTGTGAAATAATAGTGAGTTTATATTATATAGATTTGAAAAACATTCCTGCCTAAGTTGACATTTTTTGCTTTAAAGGAAAAACTTTTTATTAAGTAAATATTCATAAATATTTTTTTTTAATATGATAGAAGTATTGTTATGAATATGATCATGATTTGTGTTAGGCTTAATGTTGTACTTATAAATATAAGTGATTTTAATTTGATTGTATTTGTTGTTTATAGTTTGAAACTGTAGTCGGTTTACAGCATCATTTACGCACAAAAACTCACAAAGAACGTACCAAAAAGATTAAAAAACGTACTAAAATGGAACTATTGGTAACGGACAAGTTTAATCAAGATGTAAAAAAGAAGAAGTTAAAAAGAGTGACATCTCTGGACAGTATATCGCTGGATGTGGATATTAACGACGAGAAAACTGGCAACCAAGGAAAAGTGAAAAATAACCGTAAGCGGTGTTTAAAATTACGACATAAAATGTTGACGAGGTAATTTATTTTTAACGTGTTATTTAATATAAGGATCATTAGATGGATAACAAAATAATATAATTTTTGTACGTAGGAGTAAAATATGTGAAGATAATTTGATTAAACCGGATTCGTCTTCTGTTGATAAAACGACAATAGAAATTTGTGTGAATTCCATCGAGAAACATCTAAACGAATTAAAGAGTGAACAGTGGTCGAAAAATGTGATAAAGAACTTAGAAACTAAATTGATATTCTTAGAAAAACGTTCCAATGAAATTCCTGTATGTATTTCACAGACTGTATATTACATTTCATATTACTTTTTAATGATGTCTATATTTTTTTATTGACAGGTTAAAGATTTCCAATCTTTAATTTCGCGCAGTGATGGTTTAAATGTTTTAAATAGAATTTTGATAATGGCATTAAATGAAGAAAAATCAGCAAGTTCTTCGGATTTCCTCACAAAGTTTGTATATATAACATATACATTGTACAGACCTAGACATTTTTTAAATGCTTTTTAAATTAAACATAAATTGAAATAATTACTGAAAAATAAATCTTGTACATTTTTATTTAATATAAAAAGTTATTTCAAAAAGTCAAATAAAAATGTATTTGTTTTATTTTAATGAACATGGGCATTTTTTGTTTAAATAAAAAGTTGCAATAACTACTCATATCTTAGAGTTTTGTTTAATAATTATTTTTATTTAGAGTATCAGATAATGTTTTATTTGTAATACATTTTTTTACTGTTTCTAATAACATGTATTTTTAATTATAATATTTTGCAGGGTTGTATTTAAAACGAACAAGTTGTATATTAAAGTGTGTAATAATAGCGACGCTAATACAAATACTGTAATTTACACGGAAAATATTTTCATAATTTTGGACTTACTTTTACTCGAACTAAACGTATGTTAAAATTATTTATTCTCATTATATATATATTATACATATTGACCATTTTGTAAACCTATGTATTTTCGTCATTACAGAAAGTCATTCCTGATAGTGGTGTGGACAGTAATTTTAAAATTAAAGCTCAAACAGATTGTGCAATTAGCGGACAGCTGTTAGAATTGTTAAGTGCAGTTTTATTATCATTTAAATTTAGCCAACAAGAAGACCAAGAACAAATCCATGACTTAATCAGGTATTATAAAAAAAAACCTGTTTAATGTGCTAAGTTATGCTAACAGACCGATATATTATTTTTGTTGTGTTATTACTTATTTAAATAACAATTTTTTAAACTATATGTACATTTTCAGTTATACGTGTTACATTGGTTTACTTGAGAAAATAGTTCACTTTTTCACATTAGTCCGAGACAGTTACCCTGAAACTAATGGAAATGTATCCGATTTTGTCATTCATTGTTTGTCGTTTATCGGCAGTCTCTCAAAAATCAAGTAAGACGGTTATAGTGAACTAGTTTGTGAATCATACTATAGAATAACAACATTCACAATTTATTATTTCAGTACCGAAGTAATGGTGAAGAAGTACACTGAAATTCTCAGAAATACTGAGTTGATGGGCGTCATGCCAGTTTTGTACAGTGTATTGTTACGAAATGATTGTAGCACTAACGGTCTGGGGCCGACAGATCTGTCGTTTGCCGCCCTTAAAGTTACCAAAGCAGTATTTAGCATGTTGACATCTATCGCTAAAATGGATCCTAACACATTCCAAGTAATAAGAAAAAAAAAGCCACAACAGAGGGGTTGGATATATTGTCAGAAAATCTATTCAATATAAATATAAAAAAATTTCAGATTTTAATTCCCAAAACTACACTTTAAAAGTAAATTAAATAAAAGGTTCTTACCCCACATATGACATATATATTTTCTTGGTTTTTCTCTGTATACATCTAATGAATATCTCGCACAACTTTGGAAGTAATGTGTACATTTATCAGGTCTGATTTTTAATCCATTGTCTTGCTACGTGAAAAAATTAGTCTGCTGAAACAATACCATTTCAGCTCCAAAATATTGTTAATTTGCTGTAGTAAAAAAAAAATATAAGACTAATATTCAAAATTTCATTACAGGAAGTGTTGAAAGTTGAAAGTCTGTCCGTCCAATTTCGACATATAGCCAGATATTTATTGTGGTTCTGTTCGGAAAAGCCTGAGAGCAAAGATTTATTAAACGAAGTCATTGTTGCTGTTGGCTATTTTACTCTGAACAGTAGTCAGCACCAAGTAATACAAATTTTCTATACGTCATATAAGTGGCAATGTTGTTGTATGTAATGTTATTATAATTTTTGTATTTCTATTCTACAGTCAATGTTACAGTCTGGACCGTCGCCGACAGTCCTTCAACTACTCTGTACCTTACCGTTTCAGTATTTCAGTAATCCCGCATTGACTTCAATCCTATACCCAACGCTTTTGGCGTGTTGTTCAAACAATGCACACAACAAATCGTTAGTGGAGTCTGAAATATGCTTTGACGTATGTAACGCTAAAATTTGTTTATATAATAAAAAATAATAATGATGGTTTTTTAAATTTTGGTTTTTCTACAGTTGCTGGAAGAATTCCAAAAGTCCATTCAAAGTAAGAACATTCAAATTATTCAGCTGATAAAATAACAATGTCCTAATTAATTGTAGTTTACGTGCAAACTGAATATAATAATATGTGTACCTCCCTACCATAAATTTAAATAATATTATCTCTATTAATCATTTCTGTAATAATTATTAAGGTTCACCAACAAGTGGAATTAACATACTAGTCTGTTAACCTTGTGATAAAAAAAAAAACCAATTGTGTAATATTTTACTTTTTAGTTTATAGATAATTTTCATCAATATATTATTATACTTAGAATTATTATTGTTGGTTAAAATGTAATTTCAACTAATATAAATATCGTTGTTAGACAATGTGTAGTATCTATTTCCTAAAGAAACGTATTGTTTTTTTTTAATTCTAACGAATTATTACAATTTATCTATGTTATTATTGCGGTTACTAGAATTTATTAGGTGGAATAAAATGGTTAAATGGTTGAAACGTGTTTTTTTATTATCATTTTTATCAATACGAACATTTCCTACTTTATCGTTAGAAGCGGAATCGTTGACTTTTACCAGTTTACTTTTAAAGAGTGGCTATTTTAAATTTTGCATACAGTTTAGCATAAGTACTTTGTGAGAGGTCAAAGTACAGATTTTTTAAAATAATTAAAATTTCTTAATTGACAACTGTAAAGTCCTTTATATAGATCATTATCATAGTATAAACGATTTTACATGATGATTGTAACTTAAGAGACGTTCGCCTGACTCATTTTAGTAGGCGCTTGATAGAACTTTTGCAACTGTTCTACAATGCCTACCTAAATGTATTTCTAACGTTTTCAATACATTTTAGTGACAAAAGAAAAAATGTAAAGAAAACATTCGGACCGCTATTTGATACGATGTTGTAATAAATTTACCTGTTTTTCTTTTCTTTGGGGTGAATTCATTTGGGTTGAGTGGGTTCAGGTGTTTTAGTCGTCCGTAGCACGTTAATAATTAAGCAGTTTTAGCTATACCTATACGGATCAGCACGCTCAACACAAAACATTTACCGTAATTTAGGTGTGTTATATATTATTAAAGTCAACGTGTACTCTTGTATCGTTTTTACGCTGTACTTGTAAGTTGTAGACGCTGTAGTCACCACGATCGTTTAGTAAATTGAAAATTATGATCGCCTATGGGGAGTTTCTCCAAAGGGTGAATGAAAACGATTTGTCGCCTGGAGCGTATTCCTTTAAACGATATGAACACGTGAAACATGTCTAAAAGTTGGCCCTGTTTATAACAAGTCATAAAAAATGGCTCCATGGTGGTCGTTATTTTTGATTGTGTGTTATACAGCCATGCTATACATTTTAAATAAGTATAAAAACAAAAGAAATACTCAATTTTTTTGAGAATTTTAGATTAATCCCTTTTCTCTCTGTTTGAGCGGAAAGTTTTTCCGGTATATTTAAAATATCGTGGAATACTCTATACCTACCTATCAAATGTTTAATATTATAATATTTTTTAAATTTGTTTACTAAATAGTTAATTAAAAAGGGATTACCTAATAAAATGTTCAGTATTAGTTACAAACTATATTATCTATTAATATAATTTATTTCAAAAAATAATAAATAAGTTTTTACTTTTCAAATAAATGAAAAATTCTCAGTACCTACTATAATACCTACACCTCCGCTTAAACACTGAGACAATTTTGTATTTTTCAAATATAAATGCCAAAGTTGGAGAACTCCACTCCGTTCATTTATAAGGAGTAAAGTATAGGCAATGTTTTAAAAAACTCAATTGAGAGTGAGCTACAGTGTATACTCATTAATACAGTAATGAGGTTACTTATTGATTGCCAATTATTTTGCCAGACCACCACAGTAATTGCTATAGGATAAATTACAATTTTTTCCATCAAAACTGCTTTGCGAGGGACAAGTATGTGAGGCCAGTATTAACAGTAGATTTACCAAATTTTTACAATGTATGGAGAATAACATTATCCATGGGGTAGCGTTTTAATTTTTTTTTCATATCTATACTTAATATTTTTTTTTAAAAACAAATGAAAAAATTAAGGTTTAATAATTATTGTTACAGTTGGCGAGTTGTTGATGATGACGTGATGGCCGTGACTCGTGAGTGCCGGTCACCTACACGATGAACATATTATGAACATTGATCCGTACCTACATGATCCTTAATACAATTTACTACAAAGAACAGCTTATACTTCATTTGCAGTACTTACCCATATCTTTGTTGTGCTTAATAGCGTTGGGGGCATGGCGGCGACACATCCATTAGGACGGTGATTTTGCCGAAGATTTTATTTATCATCAACGGCTGAGGGTTAATCCGAAATCGAATTAAACGTCCCTCCCCTCTCTCTCTGACTCCCCCTAGGTTTTTCTTCTTGTTTTTCGCCTCGTCCCCTCCGAGACTAATCCGATTGTTGCGAACACACGAAGACAACAAATGAGCGCAACGGACCGTCACATCTCTTGGTCAGTCACATTCAATTATTACTGATTTTAAATCGACACAAAAACACAATTTTCACCATTATTTTCAGCTTATGTAAATTATACAGTTACAAAATATGATCAAATCAAATAATAAATAATCGACATTAATAATATTATATAATAATTATATAATTATTATATAAATATTATAATTATATATTATAATATTCGCTTTCTAAATTAAAATAATAAACTTTATATAATAACAATTGTCATCCATAATATATAAGCTGCTGTATAAATTGAGCTTAACAGTCGTGGACTAGTTATCTACAACAATGGCATGGGCTTTTTGCTTATTTCGGTTTACCATGTTTATTGTGAGATTTTCCAATTAATCAGGCGCATTGGGTAGGCAATATCTCTCAAAACGATATAGGTAATAATATAAGACTGAATACATACGGGAGTTCTTGGCCTTCGGGGTCTGAGGTTTTGAGCCGCACTTAAGCTTATAATAGGTCCATTATTTCTATATAAACTAACTGAGGAGGGCTGATTTGTAGGTATGTGAAATTAGTCAACCAAATTGAATAATCGTCCCCGTTCCTGAATATTTTTCTGATTATATTTTGTAACGTTTTTAAAATATGAAGGGCACAGGGTAAAAACGGTAGTTGTCACATTGTGAAAATTTTAAAGTATAGCAAAAACAAAGTTTGTGAATTCCTCTACCTCTTAAATAAGAACAAAAAAATAAACCACATTAAATGCTACTCTAACAATAAATGTATTTATTTTAACAATCTATTGACATAAATAAAAAAAATTATTGGCATAAATTGAAAAAAACTATTTTCATAGTGTGACAACTACCGTTTTTCCCCTGTGCCCTTCATATTTTGTTGATATCAAATTACAGTTATCAAAAGCATCCCGATACTTGCTGTATCGAAAACAAAAAAGTTTGGCGTCTCTGCGCGCATAATCACACAATACGTTATGTTAATAGGTATTTTATATAGAGAGGAACGCAAAATCGGTATACATTTAGTACACACTGTACATGTTATTAAAAAAAAATAATTATAGGTACTATTGTGTTGTTGTGCGGCAAAAGGGTTTGTTTTTTAGCGACGTCGTTGCCGGTGCAGCGGTGACGGCCCCGCGCGTACCTAATGCGTTCGCACACCGCACCGCTCTTGTCAGTCAGCTGAGAGAAAGCTTTTAGCCGCGTAGGCGGCTCGAGGGCGGGCACCGCGGCCGGCGCCGGACGGGGGGGTGCGAAGGGTTTTAAGCGTAAAAGCACCGGGGGACGTGCACTACTACTACCCCGGTCCTCGTCCTCGCCCAAGTACACACGGCAGTTATAACGTGTAGTCCCTCGAGTTGTTGCGCGCCGTGCCGTGTACGACGGCGCGTTTCACCCTATAATCAGTACTAAAAGCTCCTGGCCGCCGAATCATCCATTAGATAAGGGTACCCGACCCCAAACAATGGCCGATGACTGCGTACATACACACTGTACACACACACGCGCGCACACACACACACACATATACCGTATATATTTATATATATGTATGTACATTGTATAGCATACAGTATAACGGTACAGCGGTAGGTACACCGACGGCGGCGCAGGGTAGTGAGGCGTGCGCGTGTAATTCAATAATACCTGCGCGAAAACCGCCGCTTTCTCTCCGCCGTCCTCGGTTGTGTATAACGCGCGTCCTCCCCTATAATATATTTTTCTTGCATCTCTCTTTTTTTTTTTTTTTGAGTCGCTCCTCTACTACCCCTATCTCTTCCGCAAGTATGTATACCGTCGCCGTTATATATTTTTGCCCCCGTGTACATATACACCGGACAAACACACACACACACACATTCCACCCGAAAAAAGTGATGCCCTTTTACTAACACACAAACAGATAATACGGACAAATAACATATTATTTTACATATAAAATCTAAATTACCCAAATACATTTTCTAAAACATTGTCCAAGCTCATACACGAAGAGTTTTGACAAATCAATGTTTCATTATAATACAGGTACAAGAAGAATCTGTTTTTAATCGGCTTTTTACCAATTTTTTTTAAAATACGAATAATTCAAAATCTACAAACGGATAGTTTTTTTTTTAAGTTTTTACCTTGTGTGATAACTGTACTTTAAATAAAATCCTCATTAGTTTTAATTTTTAAAATTGTGTATAAAACTAAAAAATAAACTTTAGAATACCACTCACAGAGAAAATGGCGTGTGTGCGTTTTCATATTCAAGAGTAACGAAGGTCAAGGCTAACATTTCATTGTAAAACCAATACCTTGTTAGTTTTGCATCCAGACTTTAAAAAACGTACAACGAGACGAATTACGTAGACAACTATTTTGATACATGCTATTTGAAAACTTACTTTTGTCTTTTAAGTATATACCTGCAAGCGAGGTTTTTAGCAACAACAACTTTATATAATTCTATACAACCTACAATGAACTTGAAATTAACCAAAACGTTTTAACTCGTAGGCTGCATTAAGCACTAGTCAGTTTTTAATTATGTTGTTAAATAATGTACATAAAATTATTATACTATGGTAATCATTTATTGTTTTCAACACTTTTTGGCCGGATGGTGTTATTTTTGCCTGCCCCGGCTCCTAAGACTCCCGTGAACTATCGAATCCGACTTTATGGGCTTTAATGAAAATACAATGTTACAACGATAGTGCATTCCGCACGCTGTCCAGGTCAGGGCACCAGCTTTATGACGGATGACCTAATCGTGTCAGAGCGATGAGAACGTGACCTCGGTTGGACAGCAAGTAAAGTTCGTGACGAATGCCGACTGCGTTACGTTTACACTGGTGCGTAATAAAAAT